TAACCTGCTGACATGTGGATCTGGACTTCCAGACTCCAGACTGTGAGGAATAAGTGTCTGCTGTTTAAGCCTCCTGTCTGTGGTGTTTCTTATGGCGCCAAGGAGAGTAACACACAGAGCTACTGCTGAGAGGAACAGCGCTCCCACACACAATGAATGGCCGTAACTCCTGCTCTGATTGGCTGTCAACATTTCTTTCCCGTACTGTTCTACAGACGTGAACTACGTCCAGTCTGCCCCGTGCCAGACACAGGAGAACCAAAGATGAAGACGCAGCCAGGCTCACCGTTCAGAAGGAAACAGACACAGACACGTCAAGCAAAAATAAGAGCGTACGGGGATCCGTTCATTCAGCCCCCGGTGATCATCAGATGCTTGCCCCGTCGGACGTTCTGGCTGAGTACACAACAGTGAGCAAGACAGGAAGTCCCCACTCTGGATTTTTGAAGGGGGAGACAAACAGTAAGCAAATGTTTACTTTCCAAAAATGACAGGCACCAGGAAGAAAACCAAACAGGCTGATACTAGAGTGGCGGGTTGGGGGCCCATGGCCAGGGAGGCCCCTCTGAGGAGCGAATCTGAGCTAACCCTGAGTGATGAGCTGGTGTCGCCATCTGGTGCCCTACAGGAGGAGCAGTAATGAGGAAGCGGCACGTGCCAAGGCCCAGAGGCAGAAACGGAGCAGAAGACCCTGCGGGTGGGGTGGATAGAAGGGGAGGGTTCCCAGGGGAGGGTAGGGGCGACCCGTGCTGGGCCTTCATGGGCCATGATATTGTCATTTGCTGCTATGTCACAAGCCACCCCAAACGTAGTGGTTTCAAACAACTATTTATTATTTCTCACGATTACATTGCTTGAGTGCAATGGTGTGCTGGTAAGTGTTTAACAACCTTCTCTCCAGAAAAAACAAAAATGAAATGACCCTGATTTGTAGCATTTACCCATTTCCATGCTGTGAACACTGCCAGCAGGGCCAATTTCAAGCTCCCAACTCGAGGTCCACAAATGGGTGGGTGGGAAGGGCCGTGCACCATCATAGAGAACCTCCACCAGGCAGAGGCACGTGAGAAAATGCCCACGAGAGCACAGGTAATGGTCACGTGGAGTCAACTCATTAGGAAGGAATGAGTCCTGAGGGCCTATTACCTATGTTTTTAATATGACTGGGCCGGCCCTGTGGCTTAGCAGTTAAGTGCGTGTGCTCTGCTACTGGTGGCCTGAGTTCGGATCCCGGGGGTGCACCAACGCACCCCTTGTCCAGCCATGCTGAGGCCGAGTCCCACATACAGCAACTAGAAGGATGTGTAGTTATGACATACAACTATCTACTGGGGCTTTGGGGGGAACAAAAAAGGAGGAGCAGGATTGGCAATAGATGTTAGCTCAGAGCCGGTCTTCCTCAGCAAAAAGAGGAGGATTAGCAGGGATGTTAGCTCAGGGCTGATCTTCCTCACAAAAAATAAATAAATAATATGACTTATGAAATCCAACTTTATATGATTTTTCAAATGGCTGTGTTTAGGTTACCAGCTTATGACATTCTTGAGACCATAACAATTATCTCTTGGGAGCTGGCAAGGTGGCTCTTCTGCAGGTCTCTGGGGCTCTGGTGTGGCTGGCTGCCTTCAGCTGGTGGATTCAGGGGCTGGGCCTCCCTCCTGCTTCTCTGTACAGCTGAGACAGCAATGGAGAGCAGGAAGGAACACACACGGATTATCACTGCTGCATTCACTTTTGTTGATGTCACGAGAGATAGGGTAGAAAAGAGGACATTTGAAGCAAAGGGCACTTGCAACAGAGACATGAAACAGCATGTGGCATGCCCGAGGACGTGCTGGAAGGTTCTGCCAGGAGGTAGGATAATTGCTGACCCAGGCCGAGAGCCTCCTCCGTGCCAGGCTGTTCTGAGCCCCTCACTTCTCAACACTGCTTGTGGTAAGTACTGTATTGTTTCCCTCTCACAGAAGAGGAAACAGGCTCAGAGAGGCCGGGAAGCCATGGGAGCGAGGAGACTACAGAGGCCAGATGGGGCTGCACTCCCAAGGCACCCGGGACTTTGAAATTAATTCTTCAGGGACCCATGAATCCCACCCGGAAAGAGTGCCCGGGCTCCTCCACATCCCTGCCTACACGTGGCCTGGCGTTTCCAAGGGGAGTAACTGACCTGGCCGGAGCTCCCTCTAGACCGCCACCAGCACAGTCCCCATTGGGGTCAGGCCTGGGCAGGCTGTCTGGCCTGCTGGGTTTAAGCCCTGGCCCTGCTGGCCCAGCAGCCAGTCTGCTTTCTTCGTGGAGACATCGACCCTTCCTCTTCCTCTTCCTGGGGCTGCCCCTGCCCTGTCTCACCTGCCTGGGGGGTGCTGGTGGCCCAGCAGACAGTGAGAGGCTCAGGTCTGGCCCATCACTGATGGGGTTGGGGATGGGCTTCCCTTTGAACCAGTGGGGAAGCCGCCAGTTAACCGCTTCTGCCTGACGGAAGCTGAGGTCTGGGAAGCTGCCATTATAAACAGAGGGAAAGAAGGGTCCCAGGATGGCGTTCAGGCTCCTTCGTCCAGCCACGCTTGAAGTCAGGTCTGCCCTGGGCTTTTCCGGTCAATTCCCCCTTTTTGCTTTTTTCCTCCAGAGAGGTTAGTTTCCTAGTGCAGGGCTGCTAGTGTCCACTGCAGCGGCAATCCTAACTGATTCAGAACCCTGCCACTCTGGGCCTCTTCACTGCATGAGGGCCCCCGCTGGGAGAGGCCCGGCTCAGAGTCCACCTCCTCTCCCGGTCTGGGCACTTCACTGCGGCAAAATCCACAATGCCCCCCTCCTGCTCTCAGATCTGAGCTGTGATCTGATCCTGTTAGCTCCGAGGCATTCCAGATGACTTGCTGCGTGCCTGGTTGCACTCGGAGCCCTGACAGATGCTGGCCCAGTGAGGCTTCCACGGGATCAACCGCTCACCTCGGAGCTCAGACCAGCAGGCCAGGAAGACCTAGTGCACAGCCCCTTGGAGGGTGCACGGCAGATGGGAGGTGTGGGCGGGGCTGGCACCTCTTCTGATGGGGGCACTAGGAGCACAGGAGGGACAGGGTGAGCAAGGCTGTAGGACAACGTGGGGGGTGGGAAGCAAGCAGTGGAGACCCAGCTGGGCCTGCTCTGGGGCTGGGCCCAGACAAGCAGGTGGGTGTCTCCCTCTGCAGGAGCTGGCCACACACCCCAAGAGAGCCTGTGCCACCAGGACAGTTGCACACGGCAGGGCTCCAACCCAACCGTGGCCTGGCTGTGGGGTAGGAGGGTGTTGAGGAACAGGAAGTACAGAAAGTCGTGAGAGCACACTCATCCAGCCCTGTAGAACAGCTCATCGTCATCACCTGGAGAACAACCACCCTGGTCCCAAGGCTCCTCGCGCTGGTTAAAGCCAACCAGCTCTGTTCTGACCCCGTGTGCTCATCAGAAATGGAGCGCCCAGGCTCCAGCGGAGTCAGTCCCGCACCATGGACCTGGAGTCTGATGGGGTGTGTGCCCTTACCTTCACTGACAGATCCAGTGCAGCCTCAGGAAAGTCGCATGTTCTGTTTAAACCTAGGCAAAAAAAGCTGGTATATCCTCTAAGGGGCTGAGACTTTGTTCTTACTTTTCGGGAGAGGGAGGAGGAGGGAGTGAAGGGGGTGATGAGCCCACGTCCTGAGGTGCGGAGCCCAGGCCTTACACACAGAGCCGAGGCTTCAATATGACCAACAGGCTGTGGCTCCCTTGGGGCTGGCGGATCCAAGACCCCGTGCCTTTCCCCAGTGCTCAGACCTGGGCCCCGACCCCGAGTCATGTCTGCCTGCAGGGCCCACTCACCCAACGCGGCTGACCTGCCAGGTGGCCTCTGGCTGGCAGTAAGTAGGTAACTAGTGCCGTCTGTAGCCTGTCGCACTGTGACGGGAAGAAGCACACTGCAGCACCCCCCCACATACACACACACACTCCGGGGAGAGAAACAGACACGGCTTGTTTATTAGGACGCAGGAAGGAGCTTCTTCCGCAAACAGAGTGCTGCTTCTCAGAGTCTGTATCAAGAGCAATTCAATAGCTGAAAATCCTATTCCTGAGAAGAAGCAAAAAGTTACAGTTTTGCAAACAAACATAACAGGTGATTTCAACAAAAGATAAAAAACTTTTTTCTTTTTTTACAAAGAACAAAATTTCAAGTATTATTCCAGATGACACGGCAACCCCAACGCAGGAGGAAAAGGCAAGGACTAGCAGAAGCAAAGGCCCCTCGCGATCTCCACAGGAAGGGGCTGCTGGTGGGGGGGTGCCACCAGGGCCAACCTGTGCCCCTACACCTTGGCCTGTGCACGGCCCACGGCCTCACGTGGAAGAATAAAGAACATGGACAGCTCGGCAGGGCCTGCAGCAGGGACCAACGCTTTGCTCCACGGCAGGCTCAGGATGGCAGCGACCCAACTTATCGCCTGCCTGGGAGGGGGCCGCACTCTTAATGTCGGGGGTCTACGGTTAGCAGTCTGGACATCTGATGACTTCTTTTTAATAAACAGAAACATATATCCTTTCAAAAACCATACTATCCCCAATTTTAGTCAATTTGCAAATTATAAATTATATTATTTGTGCTACAGTCTGTGATATTTAAATCTTATTAGAAGATAAGCACCAAACCTATTAGAATAAAAACATACGAGATGCTGTGGCTTTCCCGAGGCATGGCACTCTGCACAGCCTGGGCTTGAACTGTTGCTCCCTTTTCCTAAACAAGAGAATGTTTCTGACAAAGTTTCCTTTTCTTCCCACGAAGATTTTCTTGAAGAGAGACATCCGTTTTAACCACAGTTGTGGGAAAGGGACAAAGAGCAAACCTGCACCTCATCATCTCAACAGGAGGGGACAGCTGTCGGCTGTTCTTTCGGCCGAGGCGCTCCAAGCAGCCCAGGGCTCAGAGGACAGGTTGTGCCACCCAGACTGCTGGGGGTCTCACTAAGAGAGTCTTGTCCCACAAAAGAAAGTCACACTAGAGTGCAGGACACAGAGACCCCAGTGTCCCCTGAGGGGGACTGGGAAATGCCCTTAAAATGTTTATATTCGGTATTTTCCGAATCACGCTGTCATTGACCCCTGACACTCCCAAGCCGTCTCGGTGCCTCCCTGGACGTTAGTTCTTGAACCTTGTCTGTTCACAGATATGATTGAATTTCCTGCAGGGAGAAAAGAGTCAAATTACACAAGAGGGCATCAGAGAAGCATTCAAATAAACCAATTCTGAAATTGCATCCTGAAAGAACGACATGAGAAATCAACTGTGTGCACACGTGGGGGCTCACAGAGGCATATTTTTAATACCATCAAAGAAACTAACCCCCAAAGGCAGCCTTCTTTTTTCCTTTTAAAATTTAAAATAAAAGCTGAACATCTTAGGTAATTTTCTTAGAGAAGACTTAAAGCTGCGCCTTCTCAGCACCCTCCTGGTGCCATGAACCGCTCCACAGGGCTGATGGACATGCCCACTGGGTGACAGCACTGCCACCCACCTCTCCACGAAGAGCAGCGCATCCCTGGAGGAAGACAGGTATGCCTCTGCTAGCGTTACCCATGTTTTTATTAAGAAAGATTAGCCAGTTACTGGTAAAATCTCTTATCTTATAATAATACAATTGTCTCTCCCACCACTGTTTATGCTCAGATACAAAGCAGGGTTTTTATTCCACAGACTCACTCCTTGGAAGGAGCGGCCTTTTCCTGACTCCTCACCATGCCTCTTGCACTAAGGGCATCCTCTCAGTTACTTTAATTTAAACGACAAATGACTGTTTGAGGATTAGAGTAGCTTCAAACAGCATCAATCCAAGAGACTGATTTATACGATCACTTCACCTATGGTTTAAAAGCGGAGATGAGCTTACTCCAGCAGACAACCTGACGTCGCAATGTGGATGTCACCATGAAGCGGCCTTTAAAGACCCTGTGGGAAACACCCAGTGAGAGTGACCCAGTTAGAGTGATCACAGACACTCATTCACAGCACTAAACACAGACCCGGTGCACAGCGGCACGTGCACGGGGCCCATGGCTCCGGAAGGAAGTTCTCATTGACTGCAGCCACTGATTCGGAAAGTGCTAAACCTCGAATGCGTCGGCTGGGAATGACTGGCTATGCTCTGGAGACACGGAGGTGCAAGACAGAGGCAAACATTTGCGTGCAAATGTTTCATGAAATGAGATAACAGAAGAGCAGAATTTCTAAATGATAATGCTATTCTATACACCATGTGACTTTATAGATGCATAACGGCTAAATTAGTATGTTTATCAGTAGATCGTTGACTAGTTCATGGACATCCCTAAAAGCTGAGATATCAACTTGGCCAAAACACTTAAAAAATCACTTTCCTGTTAGGAAAAGGAGGGACTGATTACTGCAGGACTACTTCTGCTCCCTCTCCCAGCGTCAGGACCCTCACTGACAGTCCTGCCCCCACCCGTCAGGGCACGACTCACTCACATTGCGTGGTGGGCCTTCACCTGGGTGCGGCAGTTGCGGCCCCAGTAGCAATCAGGACGGGACGTTACAGCCACTAGGAAGAGAAAAAATTACATATGTGTAATACATATATCACACTTACACACTCAGCTCAGTGAATTTAAGTAGAGACCCAGAACGAAACTAGCTGAAGTGCATGGCATTTTGTCACACTTTATATCTAGTTTCCTTGGACTGTCCCAAGATTTCAGAAAAGGAAAAAAATGTTTAAATAAAAACTAGTTTAGAAGTAAGATGACTCCAGTTGTCTATAGGATGTTCTTGTGCATCTTGTTTTAGAAACTCGTGTCACGGCAGACAGGCCCAGAGCTGAGCTAACATCAGACAATGGCCCTGAAATAAGGGCAGCCCTCGTGCAGGCTATCTGCCCAGCTGTCTCCTCGATGACGTAGACACAGAGCAAAGGCCCAAACAGACTGACTATCTAATAGGAAGGAGCGTAGAAGCCAATCCAAACAGCATCGAGTTGGGGGGGACCTTACCTGGCAACTCGGAAGCAGGAATGTTCTGCCGATACTGGTAGGTCAGCTCTCGGAAGCTGCGCAGGCCGCAGCAGTAACACAGCACGGTGTTCCCGGTGATCCTGTAATCTGGAAGGAGCACACAGGGGCACAGGCAGTCATCAGGCAACCTCATGTTTCCAGCACGGCAGGACAGACATGGCCTAGCAAACTAGTGGGAAACTAACGTATTGATTCATAAATGGGCAAGACACAATGGGCTAGATGTTTGAAAAACAAGAACAAAACCAATCGAGATACCAATTTATTTCCTTACAGCAAAATAATTCCACTTGGATAAAAAAATTCAAATATTTTTAAAAGTCAAAAAAAGTACTAAGGGGCCGGCCCCGTGGCTTAGCAGTTAAGTGTACACGCTCCACTGCTGGCGGCCCAGGTTCGGATCCTGGGCGCACACCGAAGCACTGCTTCTCCAGCCATGCTGAGGCCGCGTCTCACGTACAGCAACTAGAAGGATGTGCATCTATGACATACAACTATCTACTGGGGCTTTGGGGGAAAAAAATAAATAAATAAAATTAAAAAAAAAAAAAAAAGAACCTGCATAAAAAAACAAAAGTACTTAGAAGGATGAATATTATTTTTCTCTTGAGCTATTTCTAAGTATGTCACGAAAACTACATGGCACATAGGAAGGGATTTGTAAAATTAACTGCCTACAATTTAAGCATCACAATGGGACACATACAACAAAAGTGAACTACTAATGAACTGGTGGAAAATGTATTTGCAACACAAATGACAAGTGTTGTACCCTTAATTAACCAAGATACCATCCAAATCCATCCCCTCAAATCTAAAAACCCTAATATAAATATAGGCCAGGGTCACAGACAAGCAAATGACCCATAAAACAACAAGATCTTCAATTTTGTTAATAATCAAACATGGGCAGATAAAACAATGCTATATATACACTGTTTGCCTCTTTCATTTTTTGTTTTTGTGACGAAGATCAGCCCTGAGCTAACATCCATGCCAATCCTCCTCTTTTGTTTTTGCTGAGGAAGACCGGCTCTGAGCTAACATCTATTGCCCGTCCTCCTCCTTTTTTCCCCCAAAGCCCCAGTAGATAGTTGTATGTCATAGCTGCACATCCTTCTAGTTGCTGTATGTGGGACGCGGCCTCAGCACGGCTGGAGAAGTGGTGCATCGGTGCGCACCCGGGATCCGAACCCAGCTGCCAGTAGTGGAGTGCGCATACTTAACCGCTAGGCCATGGGGCCAGCCCTGCCTTGTTCATATTTACAAGACCTAAAAGGCAAATGCAGGGCTGATGGGCTCAGCGGGATGCTGGCCCTCACACCATGAGGCATATCCTTGGGGAGGACTGTTCCCATGACAAAGTCTCAACTGTGTGTACCACTGTCCAACAACCCTATTTATTTACTCTAAGGGGACAATTTTTCAAATCTACAATGCTGCAGCTCAACAGGTGCAGTGTTGTCTCACATAATGAAAAGCTGGAAGTAACTTAAATATCCTTCACTAGTGAATTGGCTGAATAAACTGATGTTAGAGTACTAAACAATTAAAATCAAGGTATAGACTTTTATTGACACAGAAACGGGCCCAGATACATTGTTGAGTGAACTGTAGGTTATAAAACAGCATATATGGTAGGATTTCACTCATGAACATTATGTACACACAGGAGTGTATGTGCTTAGAAGGGCGGTCATGAAAACATCATCATGGGTTTATCTTTAGGTGCTGGGATTTCCGATGGTTTTTACTTTATCCATCATACTTCCCTGTACCACTCGCATTTTCTTTGTGAGCCATCTCATTCTTATAAAAACAGTGAGCCATTAAAAAGCAAAACGAGTTAAGACCCAGCTGACAGATTTGGGCAACCCCACAGAGCTGCCCCAGCGCCTAAGACACTCAATGGGACGTGTCCATGAGACAGAAACACCTTGGAAGGATTCCCAGCAAACCTCTCACGTCTTTCATAATAATTTATGTCTTAGAAAAAAAGTCACTTGCTGGTTTTTCTGCAGCCTCCCACTGTGACAAAAATCACATGTCACAACACACTGGGTGTCCCTGGGAGAGCAGGTGAGCCTTCACCAAGTCACCAACACACGGAGCAACAGGCCAATGGGGACCCTGAGGGTTTGGGAACACCAGGCCCAAGATCTCAACGCTGAGAAGCGGTGGAGCCAAGGTCTCTCCAGATGTGCCCTCTCCCTCCCCTGTGGAGAAAAGATCCTGGAATATGTCATGTGGGCTCAAACCCAACTTTTAAAAAAATTCCAAAAGGATGAGGACTGTTCTGTCTGTCTCTGCCAGGGTGGGCAGAGGTTGAAGTTGTGAATGTGGGAAAGCAGATAGGTGGTACTGCCAAGGCGTGGCCTGGCAGGTTTTACTGTGTTATAGGAGGCAAAGGCACCCTTGGAAACGCACCACCATCCCAGAGGGGGAAAGCAAGTGCAATGCAGCTCACCAGACAGTAAAAACACTCCCCTCTGCAGAGCCACGAGACTTTCAGTCAGCATGTTCTTCCACGTCAAACCCCTGGTTGCCAAGTAATTCTGCGATGGGGAAACAAGAGCGATAGAAGAAATACTAGCTTGGAGAAAGAAACACTATGACAAGATATATGTCAGACATAGAAAATGTCAAGACAAGACAATGATAAGAGGGGTAAACATTCCATAAAAGGCCCTTGAGGGTGGGTGAAGCCAAAGCATAGCCAACCTGAACGTGGCAGGCATTTGCAGAGGGCAGCCCAGGGCGTGCAATGCGTGCAATTGTGGGGGGCCTTCTTCGAAGACCATGGCTTAGGACACCCAAGACAGCCCATGGTCCAGGACGGCCAGGACAGCCTTGTAGACCGTGACATCCGGCACAGCCTCATGGACCAGGATGCCCGGGACAGCCCAAGGACCAGGGCGGCCGAGACAGCCCCATGGACCAGGATGCTTGAAGAGGCATGTGGACCAGGATGCCCAGGACTGACATGGCACCACATTCACAAACTAGTACACACAACGATTCTTGTCCCAGATGCTTCTTTGCAGCCTCAAAAGGCAGGCTAGCTTTAGAATCTTGAGTGTAAGAGTTACCACATTCTCTCTAAAATTCTGCAAAGACATTCCTAGCATAGGAGTGGTGAGATATCCAATCTTGGCCGCAGCGGCCACAGTGCAGCAACAGGCCCATGACCACATGACAAGGAAGCCGAGGGTCTGGACTCAAGCTCTGCCCTTCAGACACACGAAGCTGCTTGGCTCCTTTTGTGCAAACCTACAAGAAGTGCCATGTGGACATCTAACCAGAGTACAGTAGTGTTGAGGAGTATGCCACGCAGGCGAAAAGACCCTCCGTCTTGTGTGTGTAATGTGGCACATAAATGGGGTGAAGGAAGATTCTTGGCAAGAGACTGATGTGCATATTAAACACTGAAATTCCAGGAGCCGGGCTAGTTTCCTGAAACATGGAATGGAAAATGGCCAGAAAGGAAGACAGCCAGAGAGAAGGCCCTGGTTCCACCCAAGGGCTGGCCTGCCCCTTGCCCCGGCCCCAGAAACCCTCTGCATGGGGCAAGCAGGAGTTGGAGCTGTGGGAAGCAATTCCTGTGGATTCATGGCATGATGGGCATAAAGGAAGTACCTATTTTTGGAATATGGGGAAAAACAGACATACACCAATGGCGTGCAGAAACTCTGGCAGCGATAGTCAGAAAATGCAGAGAGTCATTGGGGGAACTGAGGAGTTCTGGGGAGCCTCCTCCTGGCCTGTGCCTAACCCACATCTGCACGAGAAGCCTGGTACCTTCAGGATGTCCGACTCATAGTTGTTGTTGCTCAGCACCCCGTCCAGACACCTGTCGCCCAGGTTGAGTTCTGTCGGGATGGAGAAAGCAATGTTATCTGTTTTATACACTTGATGAAAGCATCGTTCATCCAACAGTTAAGATAACTAAATTTCCTTCATTATAGAGTCTAAAGAGAATAAAAAGTTCCATGAGAAAATACTACGTTTTTTTTTTTTTGGTAAGGAAGAGAGGCCCTGAGCTAACACCTGTTGCCAATCTTCCTCTTTTTGCTTAAGGAAGAGTGGCCCTGAGCTAACATCTCTGCCAATCTTCCTCTATTTTGTATATGGGATGCCCCCATAGCATGGCTTGATGAGTGGTATAGGTCTGTGCCCAAGTTCTAAACCTGCGAACCCCAGGGCACTGAAAACAGAGCGCGCTGAAGTTAACCACTGCACCACTGGGCCAGCCCCCTAAAATACTACTTTAAACAGAGAACAAGTAAAATGACTTCTGTTCCACTCCCTCCTGAAACAGATAGCTCTCCAAGTTGCCTCAGCGCCTGGTCTGTCATTGTGAAGTCTGAACACTGAGCCAGACTGTGTGTTTTTAGTGGTGGTGTTCCTTGTGCATAAATAACCCCTCCTCATTTTGAATTCAGCGTCCCCCAAGTGCTCTGTTATTGCTTGGTTTTGAGCTAACAGGGACTGACATTTCTACATGGCAAACATATGCAGAATGAAAAGTCAGGAAAAGGTAGTTAATTTGTGGTGACCAACAGTGGCCTCCCACTTCTCGGGCACACTGCAGGCCATCCCACCCCGTCACCACCCTCAACTGCAGCAAGAAAACATGCAAAGGCCGAAGTGAGTCTGCTGAAGAGCCAGCATTACCACAGAACGGGGCCAGGCAGCCGAGGCAGCCAGTCCGGGCACAGCCCCAGTACAGGTGGCAGAAGGGCTGCAGGCAGACAGCACCTGTGGACACAGAGCACAGCCACCAGGCAGGCATTTCAGGGAGGAAGAAATTCAAATAAGCATTAAGTAAATGACAGGCTCGATTCCAATAGTAATCCAAGAACTGTGAACCACAGCATCATATTCCATCCATTTAGATTTAAGAGTGACACACAGAACTACTGTGGCCCTGATGGGACAGATGTCAGAAGTGGACTTCAGAAGGAGAACCACCCATTATGGAAACTCGGTGTGTGACGGGGGCAGCGTTATCAATTGGTGGAAAAAGATGGATTATTCCATACGATCACGCAGGGACAACTGATTATGTGGATGAAAGACCAGACCTGCACCCTCACTTCAAACCATACACAAAAGTCAACAACACTGAAACCTGAGCCTGGAAGGACATACAGGAGAGGCACCGTGGCGGGGAGGTTGCTCAGGCAGGCAGCGTGCACCCACACCCTGACTTACACTGCTGGGGGGCGATGCGGGGGTTCTGCTCGCGCTCCGCCCTTCGGTCGGGCATGGGCTGGAAGCAGCAGGTACATATGGCGTGGCTTCCTTGCAGGGCACACACGTAATCCTGGGCTGTGGAACAGCCAGGGTGTTTAGGCGGCACATGTCAGGACACAGGCAGAAAGAGCAGATTAGACCCACATCTAGAGGGCAGCTACAAAGTACACACGAGGAGAGACAGACCTACGAGAAAACCCAGAAAGAACTCAGTCCTATTCTCCTAAATGCCAAATCACAGCCTACCATTTAAACTAAGGAGTTTAAACAGACTGAAAAATAGCCAGAGTTATCTTCCAGTTTGGTAGTTGTATCAAGATTTCAAAGATTACTTAAAAGTTTTCTACCATTTCCTATTAATTAAGGGCAGGCCATAAAGCACACACCATAAAACAATAAAGCAAGTACCATATTTAATCTCAGCCTCCTCCAAATAAATACGTGACAGGCCTGGAGGGTAAGACTGGCTGACCCCGCCCCAGGAGCTGTGTCCACGTGGCCCGGCCCCTGGACACACTGACCACCCGGTAGGCTCTGTCTATGCACGCACAGTTGCTACAGGCCCCGTCCCAATGGGGACTTTCATCTGCACCCTGCACACGACACAGCCTGCCTGGTGAGTGGCAGAGTCAGGAGCTGGCCAAGTGCTGCACTGCCCAGCCCCATCCATGGGGCTTACAGGAAGCCACCTAGAGAGCCGTGGCACGGCGTCATGGCAGATGGTAAAGAACGTGGCTCTGGGTCACAGTCCTGGGTCAGTGGCCTTGTGACAGGCTCAAGCAGACAGTGGCTAAGAGGCCAGGCCCTTGTGGGGCCACAAACCACAGAATGGCCAGGGCTGAAAACACAGATTGCACATGTCCACTCTCCCTGTCTTGATGGCACTGAGGACTCACCCATTGGAAAAGGGCAGTGACAGAGCTCACAGTTCTGGGAACACCATGACCCGTCGCAGGAAAGAGGCCAGTCTTTCATCTGAGCGCCCATGTGTGATGGTGGTTTTGGCTTTGGCAAGCACCCCTGGTGATGCCAACTGCCTGAAGCAGAGGGCTGGGGGGGCCAAGTGTTAGAATCAGGACTGAATCCCCAGGGGTGTCCAGGAGCGGACGCCCAAAAGTGATCAAGTTAATTATCTGTTTTTTAGCCCAAAACAGATTATGAGAAGTAACAAGCTACAAGAGGTGGGGGGACTACCTGAGGCAGGACAGCAGAGCAGGGAGGAGCCAGAGAGGCCAGCAGAAATGGCAGCCGGCATCCCGAATGGTCACAGCAGAGCAACAGCACGGAAGGCGCGGCTGTCTCACCTGTCGTGACGCTGGCAGATGTTGACGGTGTGTCCCCCAGGGCCTGCGGTGCCCCTGGCTCACTGCCGGGCTCTGGGCAGGGAAGGGGCTGCCCCGCTTGCCTCCGGTACTCAGGGCATTGTCGGCACACAACGTATGGCTGGCTGCAGGGAAAGCAAAGGCAGACCTGGAGTGTGCAGGAGTCGGGGGACACCTGGTCTCACGGGTGTGGGTGGTGGCGAGGATGCCCCAGTCCCGATGAGAGCAGACCCAGATCCCCAAGCAGGGCGGCCCCTTCTCACACCTCAGCTCTGCACCAGCTGCTGCTGCCCAGTGGGTGCAAAGGGGAAGGACAGCACATCCCCGCCTAGCACCCCATCACTGCTCACCCTGGAACAGCAGCAGGCAGAGGGCTCTCCTCCCTGCCACGTCCCGGCTCCCCTCTTCCCTAGGGTTTCCAGAGCCCTCACACCCTTCAGCTGTTCCTGGGGTCCTGAGACATCTCCTGACTGCCCTTCACTTCGGGACGCCATCCCCTGGGGCAGCACAGCCACTTAGCCCCTACACTGGGCAGGACGTGCTCTCGGAGGTTCAATGCTGGGCAAGCTGTGAACCATGTCCAGAGGCGCACTTAGCTTGCCCGGGGCACTCAAGACTGTCACCCTGGGCACCCAGGAAATGTCTGCACATCCTTCCCTTTGTTAGAGTCAGAGCCCGAGCCACGGTTGAATGCTGCTGTCCTCAGGGAGCTTTCCAACTGGCGGCAGAAGCCCTGCACCACACCTAGTCTTATGCACTTCAGCTGAGCTATCAAACACTGCCAATGGCAAAAAAACAATCCACAGGAAAGACAAACACAGTGTCCTCCCCTCATCTCAGTCAGAGAACACCTTCCCGGGCCTGCTGCCAACAGCAGGAACCAGGGAGGGAAGAACAGGTAAGACCTGACGAGAAAAAGCAAAAACAGTGAAGATGCTCAGCCTCATTCGTCAGAAAAACATCACGTAAATGGGAACAAGATGACCTTCCTCTCCTGTTACGCCGCGTGTCGGCAGGAATTACTGAAACCCCTCCACACACCCCTGAATGCCAACTAGGACCTTTCTGAGGGGCATCTGATGACACAGAAGTCACAAGTCCAGCAAGGCTTCAGACTCCGGTCAGACTCTGACCTGACCGTTCCACTTCCATCTACTTATCTCCATGAAATAACTGGAGATATTAGTAAAAAAACTATAAATGCAGGATATGCACTGCAGCATTGTCTCTAAATTCAAAATATTGGAAATAGTACAAAATCACACGTACAGTGTAATTCCATCTTCATAAAAATATTTATTTACATTACATTCCACCTCATTAAAAAAAAGTATGTATGACTGTGTATGAATAGCCAGATGGATATACAATAAGATGTTCACACTGAAGTGATTTTTGGTTTTCTTCTTTTTGCATGACCATTACTTGCTAAATTTTGTGAAAAGAAACTCAAATAATAAATTTTGGGGTTTTGTTTTTTGTCTTTTTAAATATCATGGCCTGGACTCAAAATCCAGACCCCGCACTTCCAAGTCAGGAAACATCAGCATTCCACGGCAGATGAACTAAGGTCTCCCAGAATCGCATCCTCTCAGCCAGGTGACCATGGCTTTTCTGTAATAATATCCTGACAAATGATAAATACTGCAACTTACACAGCAGGACTTGATGGCCACTAGATAAGCTACAGAGAGTAAGTGTGCTCACGTGGGACAAGGACACGTTAAATCATAATCGTGACGTTTGTCATAGCCAGTGAGTCAGGGAGCTTGATGAGGAGCCCGAAAATTATCGCCTATCGTGGTCATCATTTCACAATGGATGTAAGTCAAGTCATTATGCTGTACACCTGAAACCTACATAGTGCTATGTCAATTGTATCTCAATAAAACTGGGAAAAGATACAGATAAGCAACAAAAAAAAGAATAAATGTTCCATGTATACCTGGAAAAAAAAAGGGTATCCGAGGAGGCAGGGCAGCGAATACCCTCACAGTCACCTGAGCCAGTGGCTGTCCTTAGCACCCACACACCCTTGCCACACTCAAGGCAGGCGATATCACCACCCAACCATCAGAAGCGAGCCCAGACCACCAGGAACTGGGCTGCTCAGTGCAGAACCCGGACTCAGACCTCGTGCCGCCCACCCAGGTCCCTCCTCCACTCCCAGCCAGGCGCAGGCTCACCTAACATCCGAGGACTCACTGTCCACATCTGACAGCTCCAGCAGGTCCTCCGAACTCCCTTCCTCATCAGAGAAGGACCTCCTGACTTTGGGCTGCAGCATGTCTTGAGTGATCTTGTTCCTGGCGGCCATGCTCCGCACATCTTCCTCGCTGCGACTCTTGTCTGGAATTCAAAGAACACAGCTCTGCTGGGTGGTGGGCCCCTGGGGAGACATGCCTCCATCTCCCGGTGCCGGGCAGGCTGCCTCACTTGCCTGGGTGCTGGAGAAGGTACGCCTCTACCAGGTTGTTGAGGATGTGGTTTTTACAGATCCGTTCGACCGGACAGCGGCAGGTGGGGCACAGGGCAGAGCGCTCCATCCAGCCTGAGTAGCAGGCCGCGCAGAAGGTGTGCATGCAGGGCTGCAGGCTGAGGGCACAAGGACAGGTCTTCAGAGGCCCCCTCGGGGCACTCGAGGGTAGAGTATCTGCCCACCAGCTGCAGCAGCCCCCAGACACCAGGGCACGTGGGGCACGGCCTGCCTGGAGCATGAGAAGTAGAGGCCCCGGGTCACGCTGCCTCTTTCCCCAGAAGAGGACGTGACCTTGCTCAGGCTGAGGGTTGGTTACAAAACAGAAAAGCAAGCGAACTCCCTGCTCACCGAGCCCTCTTGACTCAGCGGGGCCTCGAGCCCGTGCTCCTCATGTGGTGCCCACTGTAGGCAGTGTCTGTGTCCTCGGCTAACAGATGGGGAACGCCACCTGCCTTGCACAACCCACCTGAGAAATGGTCCCCGCACAAAAACACGGCATTCCACCTAAACTGCTTTAACTGGGTCCCTGTTAATTAAAAGAAGCTAGAGGCCACGAGGCACTCTGTGTTCCAGGAGGAACAAGAGAGCAGACTGTGAGTTCAGGAACACGAGGAAGGGAGACACCGAGTATAGGAAAGATTGGCTTTTCAGCTGAAATTCGGACAGGCTCTAATTCTTACGTTCCCACAGAAAAGCACTGAGACAGTGCTCCCCTGGCCACTCCTGGGATCTTCATTCTGGTACACTTGTTCTACACTGACTGTTACATTTCCTTAACTCAGTTCAGTTCACCTGATCTATGTCTGAGGTGGACTGGGCCACACCGGTTAGACGTGACCCCTGTCAATCAAGGCCATCCCCATGTCGGTCTTGGGGGTTCTTACAGCCTCAGTCACCGGCGCCAGGTGTTTGGCTAGTTGGCACCCAAGTAAAATGAAAACGGTAACCTCAGCAGACTCAACCCCAAACGTGATCCAGAAGCTTGCTTCACCTGCGCCTCCTCCTCCAGAGCCCACAGCCCCTCCACTGGACGAGTCACCCGTGACGCTCCCCGCCAGCTCCCCGCGCTGCAGCGTGTGTACCTCACACAGTCGTGCAGCAGGTCCTGGCAGATGATGCACGTGAGCGTCTCCTCCATCTTGTCTGGCTTCATGGCCACAGCGCTGACATCCTCGAGGGCAGCATGGGTGTCTCTACACTGGTCCACGACCAACAGCTGCAGGTTTGGGTCAGGCTCCCCGTCTGTGAGAGAAAGGGACATGTTCTGACCGTCACAAACAAGGAGGAACAGATGCTCGGTCTTTTTGTCTTACGAATGTCTTAACGTGTGGACAGAAGACAAAGTTCTCACAAGTGTTTGCGCTTTAAAGGGCATTTTTAAGAAGGCCCAAAATCAGCCTCATATTCCAGGATGCTTAAATTTTGTTTTAGAATAGTTAATGACAAAAAGCACATTTAGGATACATGGTTAAGAGATAAGGGCCAGTTGTCAAAGAGTATTTGTGTATAAAGTCATTTTTGTTTAAACAAACAGCATGATTCATGTACACACAGGAAAGCGCTGGGAAGCATGGGCTCTCAGATGTCACCAGGAGCTTTAACATTTTTTTTCTTTTCTTCTGCTGACGTCTTTTAATTTTCCTATAATGCTCATGTGTTGCTAATCATAGATTAATTTTCAATTAAAGAAATACTTGCACACAATTTAAAAAGTCAAAGATTTAAAAGAAAACAGAAGGAGCAGACCACTGCCCCAGCCTCTCCTCACCGCCAACCTCCATCCTCTGAGGAAACTACTCTCATGTCTTTTAGCTGTTTCTTCTGTGTTTCTGACCTTGAATGCTACCATCTCCTGACATCTATTAAGGCAGAAAAGGATTTTGCCCCCAGACCCCCTTCCTAATATTACTGTAACACAACTGTTGGTTCAGTATATTGTATGTACGTTGTTATGCTTAAGGAAGTATTCACTGCTGAGACAAACAGTATACTGGAGTTAAGTTTTCTTCCTTATACAATTTTTCATTTTTGATGGAGTTAAAAATCACTTCATTTTTATACTTGCTTATCTTTTTGTGTACCTACTGACGATTCCTTCCACACCCTCCCCAAGCCGATCGATTCAATTTTCCACTCAATACATCAGATATCTAGTTTCCTTCCCCCGAGGCCCCCCTCCTGGAGTCTTGCTGTCACACCATGCCAATCAGAGGCTGCTCTCAGGCCTGCAGACCAGCTACTGTCCTACCACAACGTTCCCAAATATTCTTTACAATCTTTTAACTTTGGCTTTTAAAGTGTAGGTTTTTCTCTAAATCACCTTTAATGTGAAAGTTCAAACTATCACTTAAAGATAACATAGTCTTAAAAATTGGTTGTCATATCAAGACAGAGCGGCAATTCAGAATGCATTGTTTCCAGACCAGGAGCATATCCTGATAGTAAACAGTTTGATCCCGATGATGCAAACAGGAAAGAAAAGGCCCAGATTTCCATTTGGAAAATGCTTAAGTACCACAGGCATCAGCCTGAGACAACGTCCTCATGCTTTTGCAGAAGATGAGGTCCCATCGGGGGCAGATCAGACAGTCCCATTGGGGCCCCAAGGCACTCACAAGAGGGTGAAGGGTACACAGAACCATGAGACTCTGACCTCCTTTCATCCTCTTCTTAATGGGCTCCAAATCCTCCTGATCCTGGGATTCCAACAGAGAAAAGGATGCTCCCTCTCTGTCTGGGAAAACTGAAGGGAGGCTGGAGATTTCATCACTTGCCATGGATGGACCATACCCTTTCGGGGAGACGCCTGCATCTCCAGAGCCTGAGAGAGGGGAAGGACAAACAAGAAAGGTTCTGATTTATCCACCTTGGAAGGAGAGAGCATTGAGGGTAATGTGTCACTGATTCAAACCAGGTGCAGGTAATCCACGATGCCTTACTTTAAGAATAATATATGCTTATTAAAAAATACTCGTTTACTCAACTCACATTTCTCAAATGCATTTGTGCCCATCGTTGTGCTCGGTAGAGCTGGGGGAAGCAGCACATTCACGGAAAAGAGGCAGAGATGTTTGTGATGGGGATCAGTCTAACGCAGGGCTGGTCACACACTGGTAACCGTGTAACACGCACTATACTCTAGACAGAGTTAACATGGAGGTACATGTAAAGGAGAGACCTCGCAGAAGACGGATGCAGCAGCAGGATGCAGACTACAAGGAGATGGAGACCAGACAGGAGATGGCAATGGCGAGTGCGAGTGTGATAAAGGGAAGGAGGGGAGAGAGTGACCCGCAGGTAAAGTACTGATCTACACAAGCAAGAAGCTCGAGTCATAAACTGAAATGAACTTGGCAGAAAGGTATGGAAACTTGCCAATAACTTTTATCTTAACAAAGACCTAGTTTATATTAATATGAGAGTATGATAGATATCTAGTCTATAATCTTCATATGGTGTTACTATTTTGAAAAAGGGAGAAACTGGCCTAGAGCAGCTGAAAAAAAGAAGTGAGAACTGTCTGGGAACAAGTGAGCTCAGACACTAAGGGAAGAGAAGAGGCAGCCTCCTGGGCTGGCTCCTGGCTCTGGTGCTCACTCCTGCTGTGGTCTTGAGGGGCTGCTTTCCGTGGGCATTCTCACTCCAGAAGGAAGATTATAATAATGGTGCCTCCCCGACAGGCCTGTGGTGAGAATTAACTTCCAACTTATAAAAAGCCCTTGGTACCCTACCTCACATTTAGCAGGGAAGTATTAACTATGGTTATTTTGTTAGTATGTATACACTTAGGCATTCAGATAGAAACATTTCCCCAAGTTTACATAATGGGAGCTAATCTTTCCATTTGAAGAATTTGCTTACAGCAATATTTTTTTCTGTTTATGTTTTTATTTTTTTAAATAACACAAGTAATATATGAATGCACTGCCCTTTTATAGCAGAATATTCCACCGTACGTGTATGTACATGTGTGTATATAATACATATACATACTATATAACACATATATATACACACACACACACACACACACACACACACATTTCCTTTATGCATTCATCCTTCGATGGGCACTTAGGTTGTTTCCATGTCTTGGCTGTTGTGAATAAGTTGCAGTGACCATGGGAGTGCAGATGTCTCTTCAAGATAGTTATTTCACTTCCTTTGGATATATATCGAGAAGTGGGATTGCTGGATCATATGGTAGTTTATTTTTAACTTTTTGAAGATCCTCCATACTATTTTCCATAGTGGCTGCACCAATTAAAACTCCCAGCAAAGATGCACAAGTGTTCCCTTTTCTCCACATCCTCACCAGCATTTGTTATCTTTTGACTTTTTGATAATAGCCATCTAACAGGTATGAGGTGATAATACTGTGGTTTTGATTTGCATTTTCCTGATAATTAGTGACGTTGAACATCTTTTCATGTACCTGTCGGCCACCTGTATGTCTTCTTCGGAAAAACGTCTATTCAGATCTTCTGCCCGTTTTTTTAATCAAATTGTTTTTTGCTGTTGAGTTGTATGAGTTCTTCATACAGTTTGGATATTAACCCCTTATCAGATATATGATTTGCAAATACTTTCTCCCATTCCACAGGCTGCCTTTTCATTTTATTGATGGTTTCCTTTGCTGTGCAGAAGCCTCATCCAAACAAGTCCCACTTGTTTATTTTTGGTTTTGTTGCCTTTGCTTTTGGAGTTAAAACACTGCCCTTTTAAAGAAATTAAAACATTATCAAAAAATTATCAAAACCTGATCCCTAATACTGTACACTGTGCTATACATACAAAGAGAATAGAAAGAAATTCTATTGCTGAAGTAGCTCCTCTTTATAGGCCAGAGCTGTTTTGTGCTTCATTTCTGAAGAGTTATAATAACCACAAATCACTCAGCTTGGGACTGGAGACGAGGCACATTTGGTCTGGTTGGAGATTTGCGCTCAATCCCAAATGCCCGTAACTTTCCATCTTACCTGTGCTTGTACTTGACACACTCTGGGGCCACGCTCAAGTACACTGAACACTTTTCTCAGGGCTGCCACTACGTGGGGTGAGCCTTCAGGGTGTGGGACCAGCAGGGGAGCAGCAGCCACCCCAGCTGTGCGTGCCTCTGCGCGTTAAGGAACGCAGGTGATATTGTGAAGGGCACGTGGGCCTCTAGAACCTGTAGAACTTCCACCATCTGGGGAGTTTTCCCATATCTGGCATGTTTTCATTTTGATAGCGTGACTGCCTTTTCTTTCACTCAAGAATTTGAGGTAATGACACTAAAACAGAGATAAATCAAAAGGCCTCTGAGTAACTGGGATTAGTTTAGGGATTACCAGGAGACAGGCCACTGGACCTCTTTTTATCACTGGTTTAGTATACACGGCCTCTCTTCTCTCCGAGGTGCTGGGCGAGACTCACAAGGCACTCTTGGTCCACAGTTTTTTCTGCTAAGCATGGCTGATGAGCCTTTAAGAAGCCCTGAAAAGTCACAACCACACACCCGAAAGGTGTTCTTCAGACGGTGGGGGGGTCACAGCTCTGGGAAAAGAGTGAAGTATGTGCTTGGAGCGTGCTGCTGCGGAGGAGTTAGGCTGGGCAGGGCGGCCTCTGGACAAGGAAAGGTGGGGTATGACAAAGCCATGAGGAGGACAACAACAGGAGGTGGAGCTGCCTGTGCTAGCAAGAGCAACAGTACTGGCAAGCAAAAAACCGTCACAAAAATGGAAACAGGTGCAAGAACGTGGGAGAAGACCTCCAATCAACTGAGTCCTGCGTTTCCTGCCTCTCCTTCCCCAAACCCCACCAGAAGAGATGTAAAAAGAAGGACTATTTTGTAGCAGAGCAGCCAGATTGGCTAATGGGATGGATTTCTCCAGAAATCTTCTGGACGAGCTTTCTTTGCTGCTGCTGAGCAGTGGAGAGAGCCACTTGAAACAACGGGCCTTTTCACAGAGGCTCCCCTGGTTCCTGCTTTTGAATGTGGTTGTGATGGCTAGAGCCCTGGCAGCCATATTGCAACCACAAGATGAAAAGCAAGAGGACAAAGAGGCAACACGCGAGGGACAGAAAGTGTCTGGTGACATCCCGAGCTGATGAGCCGTGCTGGGCTGCATATGTCCGGACTTGGTTCTGGGAGCCAGGTTTTCTGTGACTCACATCCAGACACTCCCTCACTGAGACTTAAGAGGGTCTTCTGTCCATGAAAAATCTGTAGAGTGCTCCACGATGTAAGAATGAGCAAGCAAGCGTTCTAGAGATAAATAAGAATCATCCCAAAACTAGATGAAGAAGGCTATAAAACTTCACTGAGGAACATCAAAGAGCTCAATAAACAGGGAAAATACCATTTTCTTGGGTATTATAAAAATGTCAATTCTCCCCAAATCAAAATCTCAAAAACACTTTCTTTTAAACTTGCAAAGGTAATTCTAAAGATAATCTGGAAGAAAAATCAGGAGATTAGCTAAGAAAGTAAACTAAAAAAATTAACATGTATAGCGTGATCCAATTTAGGAAACATAGGTACACATATATTCTATGTTGTAACAACACCTACAGGGAAACCTTCACATCACACTGCACTGAGATGGTCTGAATTTCTTCTGGTGACCAGGGAGGAAGGTAAAGAATTCACACTGTAAGGACCAGTATACGTAAAACTGGCTTTAAATAATATGCTACTCTGGATGAGTCTTGAAAACATGGTGCTGTAAAAGAAGCCAGACACAAAAAGCCACATAGTGTATGATTCCATTTATATGAAATGTCCAGAACAGACACATCCATAGACACAGAAAGCAGATTAGAGGTTGCCAGGGGAAGCGGATGGGGAGCAACTGCTAGTGGGTATGGGGTCTCCTTTGGGATGATGAAAACGTCCTGGAATTAGATAGTGGTGACGGCTGCATAACACTGTGAAGATAGTAAAAACCACTGCAGTGTACACTTTAACTGGGTGATTTCTATGGTATGTGAATTACATCCCAATAAAACTATAAAAAATACCACAGAACTATGGTCTCCCACCTTCAGCATTTCTCTTGGGGATGGAACACGAAGACAATATTTACTACTGTTGAGAGCCGATGCCACCTCTGAATTCCTTAGTGGCTTATTTGTTTGTGACAATACAGGTCAGGCTGAGTAAAAGCAGCTCCCACCCGAGATCCCCATCTCACCGGAGACGGAGGGAGGCGCTCGCCCTGCGGAGGTGGGCTCTGTGGAAGAGGTAGAGGCCATGGGGAAGAGGGCTGACATGGACGTCGATGGCTGTGGTTCCTCAAAGCACGCCTGAGTGGTGGGCGACGGCAGGACCTGGGGATCGTCGCCTTGCCCTGCCCCTGAGGTATCTTTGGTCATGTGGAACACATTTTCTTTATTAGCTTCTGTGAGCACAAAAGGAGCAGAAGGAGCGCACACTCAGGGCTCAGGAGGAGCACCGCTGCTTCAGGCAAGATGCTGCAGCAGATCTAGAAGCTCTCCTCATAAGAATCGACAGCCCTTCATACGCACCCACTCCTTTGCTACAATCTCACTTACCAAGGGAGTCCTGTGTTATGCTTTGCTTCTCATTTAAGGATTCGTAGAGGTACGCCACATCTAAAAGGAAATTAACCATCTCAGTGCAGTGTCGGCCCACGTACCAGCAAGAACTCATTTTTCTCCTCTCTTCCCTCCAGTCACTCCACAGTCACTTTGTCCCTGTTGACTCTTTTGATTTATCAGCTAGTAACAACATTCACCAGTTTAACGGATTTTAAAACCAGTGATCCAAACATCGTAACCAACTTTAAAATAAATAAGCTTCAGGAGAAAACGTCTGGAGCCAGGAGGCAGACGGAGGGCAAGCAAAGCGATGACTGAGTGACGGATCTCCGCCTTGCTTATCGTTTTGGACTACCAGAAGGAGCAAACGGAAGATGGCTCTGTGTGGCCAGGGGCTGGCTTTGACTATGCCTAAGACAACCTTGGGAATATTTGCCCCTTCTTCCTATTGCGGGGGTGGCCTTTGAAAGACTCTCCTTCTTCCACAAACACAGATACGTGCATCTGGAAAAGCCCTAACGGTATCCAGTCTAACCTTTGCTGTCTCCTTAACGTCTCCAAAAACAGAACCATCAGTGGCCTCCAGTGCCCTAGAATAGGTCTCAACCCCCACAACTCAGACTCCAGCTATGTGACCTAACCCATCCCCACTCATGTCTCCTTGGCTGCCATTCTGAGATTCATGGCTCATGACCACATGGTATTTCTGAAGCCTGGCTGGGGCTCAGACTGCAAAGAGAACACTGCCATTCCTCAACAGACACCACTCACACCCAGAAGCTTTATAAACAACAAAGGAATGTAGCTGACAGTGACTTTCCTACAGGCACTCTTTCCACGATGCTACCCAGCTGTGGCAGGACTCCCCACCCAACACCACCTGTGTGTCCACCCCAGCAAGCGTCCCTCTTTCTCACTGTGTTCTGGCTCATTCTTCCTGTACACCAAGTAGATGACATCCCCGGTCTGTAAAGGGCACATCTGCTTCTTAACAACCTTCAGCTTGTTAATTACTGTTCCATTGGTGCTGTAAAGAGAAGAAAAATGAAATTTATCCTACTCAAAATAACTTGGAGTTAAAAATGTCTTTTTCTACCACCACTAGGAAAGCAATTCAATATTACACTTTGAAAATGATAAAATACTTACAGGCATGATGTCAATATCTAATGAGACACACATGCAAATGCTACCTTACAACTCTCATGAGAAAAGCTCGCCGACTACCCCTTACTGACAGCTCAGTAGTCTCGCCAAGTGTTTTAACATCTCTGTGTTCCAATGCCACGTTTTCCTCCATCTGACTCCTGGGGGACCCTCGCACTTCCACCAGCAACACCGTGCTTTGGTTTCCAGCTTCTCTCCTACTTCTGTGCTTCTCTGTCCACAAATCTAGCCCTCCCTCCAGCAGTCACGACCCAGGTCAGTTTATTCCTCAAATGAGCACTGATCCCTCCTATGAGACACTTCTGGGCAGAAGCAAATAAATGCTGGGGTACTGACTGGAAGATGGCGTGGTCCCCGCAGTTGGGAGGTCACTGCCGTAGGACAGGGACCACGTTGCGGTGGGAGAGATGCAGAGTGCAGCGGGGACAGACAGGAGCCTGAGTCAGGGGGGACGGGAAGCGCTTCCCTGAAGAGTGCCTCCTGGGTGGAGACATGATAGAACCGCAGGGGTGGACGAGGAGCACAGCTCGGACAAGGGAACTGTGTGTAGGACAAAAACACAACTCAGCAACTCGGCAAACCAACGGGGCATCAGGCACATAAACCACGTGCCTGACCCTGACAGCTTTACTCCTGAGGTCAGCCTTTACAGCCGTGGTGAAGGGGCTTTACTTTTACCTCTGAGCACACTTCACTGCTTTAGTTTTCTACAAAGGGCCCAGTTCACGCTGGGCAGTCATGCAGGCTCCGTCCCAATTACTCAGCTCTGCCACTGTTGCGTGAAGGCAGCCACAGACTGCGGAACTGCAGGGCCGTGGCCGCGTCCCAATAAAACTTCACTCACAAGAGCTGCAGCACTGCCACGATACTGCCAGGCCTCTGCTGCCAGGCTTCTCCTCCCAGCCCATCCTCATGCTCTTCCAAACTGAAAGTCTGACTTCACTCTTCTGCTTACACCCCTTTGATGACTTCTCACTGCTCTCAGGCTCAAGTCCAAACTCCCCAGATTGGACATTGGGGCCTTCCTGCTCCAGTCTCCTGCCCAGCTTTGCAATCACCACTCACTCTGACCACGTAGGGCCTGCTCACGCCTCTGGGCCTCTGCACCTGCGGTTCCTTCTGCCTGGAACACCCCCTTCCCTCCAGCCACCGCAGCCAAGGAATGCAGCAGCTTCTAGAAGCTGGAAAAGGCAGGGAAGGGATTCTTTCTTAGAGCCGCCAGAAGGAGCCAGCCCTGCAGACGCCTTGATTTTAGTCCAGTGAGACCTGAGTTGGACTTTGGACCTCCAGAACCATAAGATCATAGATTTGTGTTGTTTTAAGCCACTAAATTTGTGGTAATTTGTTACAACAGCCACAGGAAGCTAATACCACCATCAAGCCAGTGTGGGAAAGCCGGGACCTGATGCAGGAGGATGGCTCTAGAACCAGCACTGTTAGTGTCCACCATGCTGAGAAATAAAGAACTCGGTCTGCTACCTATTAGAAGAGAGAAAGGAGTATCTGTTCCTCCTAATAAAACCTAATTCCTAGTCTTCTGTCCTTAAAAATGCTAGTTACCTAAGAATCTCATAGCGCCTGACCTTTACAAAAATAAAAAAAATCGCTTGGTGGGAAAGGCACGCTCTCAACATACTGCTGGAAGGCCACCTGCCACCTGTACCAGGTTTAACATAGACACATTCGGACCCAGCGTTCCTTCCTACAAATTTATTCCAAGAAAATGATCAGACATGAACGCAAAGAGTATTGGAGGAGAGTCACTGCAGTGTCATTTATAATAAGAAAAAGCCAAAATAATAAATTTCCATCAGTAAAGGAGCTGACAAATAAGTTATTATATAATAATAATGAAAAAGACATGACAGATCTAGACGTACTGACAGGTCAAGCACTCCATAAACATGAGTGAGAATGGCAGATACAACAACAGTATACATCGTATAACCTCATTAATGCAAAATAAACATGTATGTATTTTTAATGGGTGAGTGGGATTTTGGAAACCTTTTCACTTTTATGTGTTACTTATGTTGTGTAAGAATTAAGAAAAAGAAAAGATTTTTTGATTTGGGGGAAAGAAGTCTAACATGAATAGATTTGTAAGAAACAAAAATTTATTACTGCCTTTTAAGTCTTATTTCTGAGATATTTTGCTTTAATTTGAATACATTCAGGAAGGGTCATAGACACCAAAAGGTCACTGAGTATCCCATCCTGAAACCAGAAAATACATTTCCTAATACCTTGAGAACCTAGCAAACCACTGTGGTATAGAAAATGAGCCCTTGCTTCTCCTCCACAGTAACTGGCTTCAAGTTAGGTTCCTGACGCTACAAGAGGACAGAAAAGAAGTTCAGAAAGAGCTTACCTGGTATCTTCCAGCGACACCTGCCCAGATTTCTCATCCACTATAATCTTACAGTGATCTCCAGAGACCAGTTTATTGCCGGGGAAAGAAAGGTCACAACCTAAAACAGAAAGGGGGACATGCTGGATACAACTGTGGGTATCACGCACAGTACCACCCTCTGCTTAACCAAAGCATGTGACTGGAAATCGGGACCCACGTTGCACAAACATAAGGAGACAACATTTAATCAAACAAAGTACAAAGACATTTTTTAAAAAGCATTTAAGTTTTAATCCAAAGCAAAGGGACAGAGACTGTGTCTTGAAACTTTCTGTCTCCCCATGACCTAGAGGATACCCCATCAACACCTCCAGCTACACATCAACAGCTTCTTGGTGTCAGTTTTACAATATGCACACATATGCAGCTAGCCTGATAATTATAGAACTTTAAAAAAACTAAGGGGCTTTGTTAAGTAATCCTTCAGTATCTTAACTCAGTCCTTAATTTCTTCTCTAAGGTTTCATAAGTCATCACAAAATTGAAGCCATGACAGAGAGTCACAGAAAATACAACTGAGCAAATTATCATAGGCATATGCACGTTTAAGAAAATTTAAAACAGAAGGGGGATGCACCTATAGCTGAATACAACCATTCTCTCCACATTAAATACAAAGAGACAAATTCTAAAAACTTTTTTCTCTCCTTAAATCAAAAGAATAAAAGCTTTCAGGAGCTTTTTAATATCTCATCACTAATCTTTTACAATAGGTTTATACTATAGCTACTAAGGTTTATAGCAGCTTTTTCTTAATAACCAAAAGTGGGAAGCAATACAAGTGTCCATCAACTGGTGGTGAATTAACAAACTGTCGTACATCCAAACAATGGACCACTACTGATACACACAACAGCAAGGATGAATTTCAAAAGCATTACGCCAAGGGAGGGGCCAGCCCAGTGGCATAGTGGTTAGGTTTTCGCTCTGCTTCAGCAGCCCGGGGTTCGATGGTTTGGATCCCAAGTGCAGACCTACACACCGCTCATCAAGCCATGCTGTGGTGGTGTCCCACATACAAAATAGAGTAAGACTGGCACAGATATTAGCTCAGGGACAATCTTCCTCAAGCAAAAAGAGGAAGATTGGCAATGGATGTTAGCTCAGGGCCAATCTTTCTCACCAAAAAAAAAAAGCATTATGCCAAAGGAAAGAAGCCAGACACAAAAGCCTGGTGGAATACTGTGAGCCCACGTAGATGACATTCTGGAAAAGGCAGAACTATAGGGATGGAAATCAGATCAGTGGTTGCCAGGAGCCAGGGCTGAGGGGAGAGGACTGGCTCCAAAGGGCCAGCAGGGAACTTTCTGGGATGATGGGAATGTTCTACATCTTAACTGGAGCGGTGGTCCCATTTCTCAAAACTCACTGAACACCTGGAAGGGGTGAACTTTACCACACGTGAACTACACCTCCATGAACCTCAAGTATTAGAAGTCTTATTGGCACAAACACTCTACATTCTGAGAAGTGCTTTGTTACGTTTATCCAAGTCGAATTTCATCTGCGCTCGACATCGTCCCAGTACACAGCATAAACACCAGGACAGTCTCCTCGCAGCCCTAAACCCAGCGCTAGTCATCATGTCACTGTCGTGGGTTTTTAACAGGCTTCTTCACACCAGAACATCAGCATTCCAATTTGGAACTTAATACTTTGTGCTGAAGTTCTATTCTTTTTTTTCTTTGCAGGGGAAGATTCACCCTAAGCTAACATCTGTTGCCAATCTTCCTTTTTTTTCCTTCCTTTTCTCCCCCGCAAAGCCCCAGTACACAGTTGTGTATAGTTCTAAGTTCTTCCAGTTCTTCTATGTGAGCTGCTGCCACAGCATGGCTACTGACAGACGAGTGGTATGGTTCCGCGCCCAGGAACCAAACCTGGGCCTCCAAAGCGGAGGGTGCTGAACTTTAACCATGAGGCCGTCAGGGCTGGCTCTAAAGTTCTATTCTTGGCATTTGCCCTGCTTGTCATTCAGTTGGTTGCATCTCCCACATGGTTGGTACACATTTCTGCCACTCCCCTAGACTGGGGACCTCTTTGGGAAAGTGAGGCCCTTATCTCCCTTCCCACATGTCAGCTTGGTGATCCTTTTCCTCAAAACAATGCTTTGTATGTAGTAGGCGTGTAATCATTTTAAAATAAATATAATCAAGTTATACAACTCTTCTGGAATGTTTATGTCCCACCAAAATTTATACGTTAAAGCCCTAACCCCTAATGTGACTGTATATGGACATAGGGCCTGTGAGGAGGTGACAAAGGTTAAATGAGATCATTAAGATGGGGCCTTATTCTGATACGGCTGGTGCCCTTACAAGAGGAAGAGACACCAAAGCTCTCTCTGCCCAGCATGTGAGGACACAGCAAGAAGGCAGCTGTCTGCAATCTAGGAAGAGGGCTCTCACCAGGAAACAAATCAACTGGCACCTTGATCTTGGACTTCCCAGACTCCACAACTGTGAGAAATAAATTTCTGTTGTTTAAGCTTCCTGGTCTGTGGTATTTTGTTATGGCAGCCTGAGCAGACTAATATAGCAACCTTTATGTTTTACTGGAAAAGTTAATACATTCACCGAAACAACAACTATTAAGTAGATTAACTCAACAACATGTTTTTTGCTCCTTGTATTAATGTCAAACAATGTTACAATATTGTGTTATAATAACAATGGCTAACATTAAGTGCTAACTCTAAGCCAGGCTCCTTCTAAGCACTTCACACGTAGGATCTCATTTAATCTTCACAGTGACTCTATAAAGTAGATACAAAGGCACAAAAAGAAAAGTTATTAGCCCAAGGCAAGTTATGTGGTGGTGGCGGGTTGGAAACACAGGCAGTCTGTCTCCAGGGATTCTCCCCTTCACCAAACTTCCTATTACATCAATTAAAGACAATTACTGCATTTTTCAAAAGTTTCTAATGCTATGCAAATAATTTCACAGTTGTAAAAAAAAAAAAAAATTGGGACCAGCCCAGTGGCATAGTTGTTAAGTTTGTGTGCTCCGCTTTGGTGGCCCAGGGTGCGCAGGTTCAGATCCCAGGCGCAGACCTACGCACTGCTCATCAAACTATGCTGTGGCGGCGTCCCACACACACAATAGAGAAAGAGGGGCACAGATGTTAGCTCAGGGCCAATGTTCCTCACCAAAATAAATAAGTAAATAAATTTAACTTGATTTTGGGATTTAAGACTGCCAAAAAAACCCTCCCAAAACAAAAACAGCTGCAGGCACATCCTAAAGGGTAAAATGAAACCAAAAAACACTTGCCTTAGAATGGTAATCTTTCTCATTCTCTCTTTTTTTAAGTATAAAGTCATAGAGATTATTTATTAATTTCCAGATAAAGTAAATATTTTTGTTGGTCTGACCAGTGCATTTCTCTCCCTGCAGGAAAGCTATGAGGTCAAAGTACCAAATGGTCACTTAGGAGTTCAGAGGCAGTAAGCGTGGAGGGTGAGAGTACTTTGTCTCACTAGCAGTGTGACTTTGTTGAGTCTTTAGCATCCCAGGTTCACTAAATCAACAAATATTTGAGTGGCTCTATTCTAAGAGCTGAGACTTGAGATCTTTTTAATGTAGCTGTCTACAGCTATAAATTTTCTTTTGAGCACTGCTTTAACTGCATCCCATAAGCTCTGGTATACTACATTTTCATTTATCTCAAAGCATTTTCTTTTAATTTTTTTTTCCTCCCCAAGGTCCCAGTACATGGTTGCATATTCTAGTTGTAGGTCCTTCTAGTTCTATGTGAGCTGCCACCACACCATGGCAACTGAAAAATGGATGGTGTGGTTCCCCCTGGGGAACCGTCAGGGCTGCAGAAGCAGAACTTCCCAAACTTCAACCACTAGGTCATCAGGGCCAGCCCTCAAGGTATTTTTTAATTTCCCTTGTGATTTCCTCGACTCATTGGTTGTTTAAATGTATTATTTAATCTCCACATATCTTTGAATTTTCCGGTGTTCCTTGTTATTGATTTCTAATTTCATTCCATTGAGGTCAGAAAAGATGCTCTGTGTAGTAATGAACTTGAGAAGACTGCATTCCAGGGAATAAATTAATACACCTAGTGCATAAAATCGTAATGAGGATTAAATAATTTCCATGAAGCACTCAGAACTGACCCGACAAACCAATAAGTGAATAAATGGCAACTCTTACATGAGAGCCCACTCTACTGGAAAAACTGGATAGCACAGCGCGCCCTGCCCAGGGGCCTCCCTCAGCCTGGCGGGCCCCGTCTCGCCCAGCTCCCATCCCCCGTCCCACGTCCCCCCTCCTGGGTCCCCGATCTCGGCTCCCCAGCCCCAGTCCCAGGTCCCCATCCCTGGTCCACGCCCCACGCCCCTCCCCCCGGGTCCCCGGTCCCCGCCCCCCAGCCCCCGGCCCAGGTCCCCCAGCCTCAGTCCCCGCCCCCAGCCCCATCCCCGGTCCCCGCCCCCCAGACCCCGGCCCACGTCCCCAGCCTCAGTCCCCGCCCCCTGGCCCATGTCCCCATCCCCGGGCCCCGGGCCCCGCCCCGCACCTCTCCTCCGCCCGATGGTCCACTCGCGTTTCCTCAGGAGGACGTGCGGCTCGCCCTCCTCGGCGCCCAGGCGGAGGAGCCTTCCCCAGGGCTGCTGCTGCGGCGGCTGCTCGCCTTCCCCCGGCCGCTCCATCGGATTCACATCTGACGAAACCCGGAAACGTCGGTGAGGCTCGGGCCGCAGAAAAAGAGGCCGGCCCGGCCGCCCCTCCCCGCAGCCCTCCGGCCTGGGCGCCCACGCCACGCCGCCGCGGGCCGGGCCGCACGCCTCAGGCCTCCCGCCGCCCGCTTACCCCCTACCCCGCGCCAAACCCGGAACCGGCCGCGCCGCCGCCGCCGCTGTCAACAGACATCGCGGATCCCTCAGCTGATGCGTGGGGCGGGCCAGCGGCGTCCGCGCCCTGCGATTGGCTGGCGGTGGCGCCCACCGAGTGCGGCGGCTAGAGCGGAACCAGGAGCGGCCATCGAGAGTGGGAGCGTGGGGGCCAGCGGAGCGTGCGCAGACGGGAGGATGCGGGTCTACACGCCATCTTTGGTGCTGGTCGGGATGACTTCGTCTTCGCGGATCTCGGAAGTAGCTGTGGTCGGCGCCATGTTAAGTCGGGGCAAAAGGGACCGAGTAATTTGTGGGCTGGGCACCGAAGCAAATTCTCAAAGCCGCGTTGGAAGTGCAGATGGCGTTTCGGTGTGCGAGGCGGCTGTCCGCCTTACATAGACGAGATAAATGCACATCGAAACTTTCGTAATTCCACATGTCGGGGGGCGAAGATCGGAACGTGTGATGACGCCCTGGAGAGCTCCGGCGAGTGGGGCCGCTCCGCTGTCAGTGGCCGGAGTGTGGGGCGCGTCACCTCCGGAGGGCGTGTGCCGCGTCGCCGTTCTAGACGCACGTTTCCTTTGACTCAGCAATCCCGGCGGGAATCCTGCGGCATCCCGGTGTGCGCGCCAAAGAGGGACGCCCTGGGGGGTCCCTGCTGGGCGTGGCGGGGCACGTGTCTGGACACGCGCCGGTGAGGCGGCCTGCGCTCCGAGGGGCGGGCAGGGGTCGGCGCCGACCCGGCGGCGAGGGGGTTCTAAAAATGGGAATGGGCACCCGTTTGTGTGAAAAGAACTAGTGTATTCATAGCCTCATAAAAATAAGTCTGAAAACAGGAACTATCAGTGACTGTCTTGGGAAGAGGGACTAGAAGTCAAGGGAGTGAGGGAGACGTCTTTCACTATATACTCCTTTATGTAGTTTAAATTTTACATCATTTGTACTATTTACCGTTGTTCATTTATTACCTTTTTTTATTTAAATAAAAAATGTAAATGTTCTTTCCGTGACTGTTACTCAGTATTATTTTGGGGCGAATTGAGGTCTCTGGGCTTGCTCTTTGCTTGCCTGCATCAGTCCATAGGAGGCAGACCCTTCAGAGAACTGGGATGAAGCTGAGCCAGAGGAACAGCCCCAGGCTTCTTGGGTGACAGGCTTCTGTACCGCCGGGAAAGACACCTGTGGACTTAGCCTTAGTAAAGTGCATCTCTCCTGTGAGTCTCAGGTTCAGGACATAGGAAAGACAGAATTTAAAATTCCTCTGAAGAAGTTTGGTTTAGATGGAAGAAAAGCAAATCACAGCACCTTATTGGATTCTGGGTGTTGGAGACGCTATGTGCCTGGCTAATCAGGTGTTTTTGTTCAGATGGAAATAGTATATTCAAGAACACAGCTTGGGCCGGCCTGGTGGCTTAGCCGTTAAGTGCTCGTGCTCCGCTGCTGGCGGCCCCGGTCTGGGGGCGCACCAACGCACCGCTTCTCCGGCCATGCTGAGGCCGCGTCCCACATACAGCAACTAAAAGGATGTGCAGCTATGGCATACAACTATCTATTGGGGCTTTGGGGGGAAAATAAATAAATAAAATCTTTAAAAAAGAACACAGCTGGTCTAGCCCCAGCAGCATCTCGGATTTACGTGAAGAACTGGCAACTACTCCCTGGTTGAAACTTGATCCTCTCTGTCCCTCCCTGTCACCTGAGGCAAATCCACTGGCTCAGTAGGGCCCTTGATTGACAGAGAGTCCCCTAAAGTCTGGGCCTGATTGGCTCATGGTTTGGTCTTGGTGTCCAGAAGGCCGCAGTAGCTCTCCAGCTGTGCAGATATGAAAACACACATACTCACTCAGTGGACAGAACTGAAGGCCATTCTCATAGCTCTGGCTGACACCTTGATGTTTTTAACCCTTGAATTGTTGCCAATAGTGTAGCTGTCCCGTCTGTCACTTTGAAGAATACTGACTGACAGATTAAAGACATTACTCTTTGGGGCTACAGAATATAAAAACAATTGTGGCTGCCTATCAGACTGTCTAGGTCAGTCATGTAGATGCCCATGGTTCTTTGATGAAAGCAAACAGAATTAAGCTATCAAGCCTACCCCTCCCAGATCACCAATTGCCACCTGCAACAGTCATCACACTGGAAATTCCAATGTCTCCTCTATCATAGACTGGGAGAAGGAAAGGATTCTATGTTTCTGACGTAGAAGCTAGCAGGGAGCTTGCCAGGAGGCAAACCTTATACCTTGTTCCATTGGAGACTTGTGACTCCTGCCAAAAGTTGGCTCATTGGTTTTGTGTTAACAGAGGACACATTTGTTGGGACATTGACCTCCCTGCTCCTGGAAAACGGACTATATCGCTCCTTTGACGCCTTCTCAGGGCTACCAGTAATGTCTTACCACTGTTGACACTTTTTCAGGATAGGCTGTTGTTATTTCATCTGATCAGCCAACTCTGGACACACTGATTTGGTAGTTGCAACTAAACTAAACTCTGTCATGTTTTTGTGTGTCTGGACCATCTGCCATCTGACAGTGGTGCATCTTTTGTTACAAAGGCTATACAACAATGACTTATAGTCAAGGTAGTCCAGGGATCTGCCAAGATCCCTCAGCATTTCCCATTCTACTCACCTGTGTTGGGTTGTTTGGTTACTATATTAATTTCCCATTACTGCTGTAACTGATTACCAGAAATTTAGTGGCTTAAAACAACACAAATTTGTTATCTAATAATTTGGAGGTTAGAAGTCCAAAATGATTCTCAATGGGCTAAAATCAAGGTGTTGGCAGAATGCGTTCCTTCTGAAGGATCTAAGGGAGAATCTCTTTGTCTTTTCTAGCATTCTTTTTTTTTTTTTTTTTTTTTAAGATTTTTTTTATTCATTTTTTCCCCCCAAAGCCCCAGTAGACAGTTGTATGTCATAGGTTCACATCCTTCTAGTTTCTAGCATTCTTTAGCTCATGGCTTCTTCCTCCATCTTCGAAGGCAGCAGTGGCCAATTGAGTCTTTCTCACCATGCTACATCTCTGTTTCTGACTCTTGTGCCTATATCTTTCACTTATAAGGACGCTTGTAAGTAAATTGTGCCCACCTGGAAAATCCAGGGTAATCTTTCTATCTAAAGATTCATAATTTAATAACATATGAGGGGCCAGCCCAGTGGCACAAGTGGTTAAATGTGCGTGCTCCTCTGCGGCGGCCTGGGGTTCGCAGGTTAGGATCCCGGGCACGCACCAATGCACCACTTGTCAAGCCATGCTGTGGTGGCGTCTCATATAAAGTAGAGGAAGATGGGTACGGATGTTAGCCCAGGGCCAGTCTTCCTCAGCCAAAAGAGGAGGATTGGCATTGGATGTTAGCTCAGGGCTAATCTTCCTCACAAAAAAATAAATAAATAAATGAAAATAAAATAAAATAAATATATGAAAAGTCACTTTTGCCGTATAAGGCAACATATTCACAGGTTCCAGAGAATAGGCAGTGGACATATCTGGAGGCCACTATTCTGCCTACCATATAGTTACTAAACTCTGCTCTCCCCAAAAAGGGATCATCTCCTCTTGCATGCTTCCTGGATAATGTTCAAGAAGGAGTGGTAGGGAGATATGTGAGATTATATAGACATATTTTAACAATTTAGGTTTCCACTCTGACCATTCCTGGGCACGATGCTTCCATGTTTCACCTACAAGCAACATCAGACCAGCCTGATTGTAATCCCCTCCAGGTGGCTGTCCAAAAAGAATCCCAAAGGATGAAAATAAAGTAAACTCTAGTTCATTCACCTGAATTTTCTTGTTGAAGTGACATGGTCTCGAAGCATGAGAATAATAATCACTTGGTTAAGTATACTGCTTGCTGATTTCCCCTACAGTGGCCCACATAGGCCAAAGTGGGAGACATAGTGAATTTTTGTAAAAATGCATTTGTCACAATCCACACCTTCCAGATGAAAAGTCTGGGTGTGAATTTGAGTTAGTTGTTGAAAAGATTACCTTATAACTCCTGAAAGAGGACACACTGATTCTGTAGCAGTGAAGAGAAAGCAACAATTGTGGCAATTTGGAGCAGGGCGAGCCTTAGACCCTGGAAGGTACAGGGAGGTAAATGGGACAGCTAATACATGCTTTGTCCCCCTCAGCCAGCACTGCTCCCATTCAACAGCTGCAGCTGGCAATCTGACCTGCTGCCAGATTTGTCATGCCCACCCACATCCTATAAAAACCAGAAAATTGACTTCCAGATTCCGGTCCAACATGTAAGTAGCTTGAAGGTATCACTCCCATCCTCACAACAGGAAAAAGCTGAAGAAAATCAACTGGAAATCAACAACTCTTCTTAGATTCATCAGATAACTGAGGTCACAGGGCAAACGCCTAGCCCCCCAAATTGTCGAAACAAATACAGGGAATCAGAACCTACTGGAGCAGAAGCCACTGCTGGAGCCCGCACCAGGACAGTAAAACTTAAACTGCAGTGGAGAATTGCCGGAGGCCCCATGTGGACAAACTTGAAAGTTAAAAACTCCAGGGGTGCCCAGTCCTACAGCAGTCCCCACACTTTTGTGAGTTTTACCCCCAGCAATCAGACTAGGTTGTTAGGGGGTAGATCAAAGAAGAACCACGTTGTGCTTCTGGCAGGAGGAGGGGAAAAGTAACCACTGTGAATACACTCAGAGCATTCTGTCCTCCTTAACAAAGGTCAGCCCTCAGGGAAACTGTCTACCAGAACCTAACCTACTGGGCTTTTATGGGAGCCTACCTGACATAGGGGAAGGGAAACCTCCAACCTCAGCCTCCTCCTGCCTTTCTATCTCACCTAAGGTGGGGCAGCAAGGAACCAGACAACCTGAGAAGAACTTGTGAAGGTCACAGCCCAGGAACACAGGCTCAGTACATGCTGAGACCTAATCCTAAATCTGTAGAATGCTTCCCCAGCCCCACA